AAAAAAAAAAAAACCCCCCCCCCCCCCCCCCCCCCCCCCCTATTTAACGGTTTGGTTTATATCCTCTCCACACTCACGCCTCGTTGTTGCTCGTGCTGGTTCCGAACTCTACGACCACAGTAGTAGTGCTTTTTGGCTTGCGAGTTCGCTCGTTCGCCAGTAGTAGTGCTTTAGCAGACTCTGATATAGTTAGCCATCATGGCGCTGCCATCCTCTTGATTCGGCTCGGTTTGTCACGATGCGGCTCTGTTTGGTTCAACAGGGACGTGCTGGAGGTGCTCATGAGCGATTCCAACTTTCTCGACCAACGAGTTGGGGCCGGGGGAGAGACGAGGTGGGTCTTTTAATAGAGAGGTGCTTTCGTTTTTTCTTTCGAAAGAGGGCGAGGCTCTCTACTTTAGCAAGCCTCTTCGTTGGGTTTTGGGACAAGCACACACCTACGCCCGGAGACAGGGAGAAAAGGCGCGAGTCGTTCGAAAACGACGTGGTTCCAATGGTCTTCTTTGACAGCCCCTTGCTGCGCTTGGTGAGATGAGATAAGGATGGCAAACAGGGGAAGCAGTCCTTGTCGACGACAGCATCCTCCAGATCGATGACCGGTATCTACGCCACTGCTCCCAAGGTTTGTGTGTAAATGTTTGGTGCTTGTTTCGTGAATGTTTTGTCTTGTGAACACGGGAAGCTTTTTTTTGTACAAAAACCAGCTCGTTCGTAATAACGAGCTAGTTTGCGGAAGACTGCATAAAACTCACGCCTACAAACCGTTGCGCGCGTCAGGCGGCCGCCCTTGGATCTGTCCGTGGATTTCATCCTGTCTGACGAGGGCGCTTTCGTGAGATCGGCGGTCATGTCGGACTTAAAGATGGCCGCGGCCTCTTCCGTCAAAAGCAGAGTCCCTTGTGTTTTTCGAAGGAATCGACGACGGCAGGGTCGACGACGACGACAACGAGCGGGACCCCACAACGATGGCTCGAAGAGTATAGTTTCTTCCACCGCCCCCCCCATACGAGGAGAGCAGCGGCCGCAGCAGCAGCAGCAACACCGCCATCCACAACAACGATCCGGTGATGCTGCAGTTTCCCCCAGCGAAGGCGGCGAAGCGAAAGCAGCGACAACTGCCACGGAGCGAGAAGCGCGAGCAGTCTCCCGACGATTGCTTAGGAGACGGGCCCTGAGGGGAGCGCGTTGGAGGCCGATTTTGGTCGTGCGAGTTATCGCTGCTGTTTTCGCGGCTGCAGGGCGGGGCATAGGCATGGTGAGAGGCTTATGACCTGGGCGAGCTTGGCGCACAGGGGGTTTATCGATTAGCCCGTGTTTCGGAGTAGTCGACCGTTCGATATTGGCCTTGTTAACAGCTGCCTAGTCCCGTTCACGAAGACACTGGCGATCGAAAGAGTGCTGTGTGTGCGTGCAAGTTCCATCGTCACTCGGCCAAGCGGGTAAGACACAATAGCTCGGAGGTGCGTGTGGGGTACACCTGATTGTTTGTTGTCTTCCCTTCGGTTGCTGTGGTAGCGCACTTAAAGCATACAAAAGCACTGAGGAACGCAACCCACCCTTGAACATACGGAATTTCTCCCTGAAACGAAATAGGCTATACTCGGAGCGTTTCGAGGACTGCTTTCGCGGAGACACGGCGAAGAAAACATCGAGGGCTTGAAGCGTTAACGCTGCTGATGCGGGCATGACCAATACTTCTGGCTAAAATTGACGGCTGCACCCACGTGCCACAGCCCCACTGTAGAGATCTTTTGGTAGCGTAGTGTTAACGGTGGAGAGGTTAGACGCGATAGAGAAACTCGACAAAAAAAGTCGCCAATTGACGTGGGAATACAAGTTGTGGAAATGCTGCTCTTTTGTCGATGCTCATCACTGCTGTAAATTAATTAAATGTGACGCGCAAGTGAGAGGTGCACTGAAGCGTAGTGTGTGTTGGTGCACTTTTTGCTCATGGTACACAAGCTCCAAACTCCAAAGAAAAGGTGTTCTTAAGTGAAAGGACCGCCCCGTGTCTGGTGGGGGAAGGCCATAACAGGCTTATCTCTTAGCATGCACAAGACTCGCCTCTTTTTTTTGAGTAGGGAAGAGAAAGTACGTGACACAGGTCAGATGTTTTTTTTTAAACGCGAAGGAAGCATCGCCAACGTTGCCCCACGGCGATGAACGCAGAGAACGCGCCGGCAACCTCCCTCCCCCCCCCCCAAACCCTCTCATGGCGCACCTAAATCCCTACCCGGACGATCTATGGTTCGATCCGTACCACAAGGCCGGAGACGACAAGCGGTCAAGGCCTCTCACCATGTGCAACACATTTGTAACTGCACGATATTGTACCGGAACTTAAGGACCACAGCCTCACGGAAGCCCGGAAAGTCCGCGTCCTCACGACACAAGCCCTTGGAGACGAGACCCAGCCATCGCCGATCCAAACGCCACATTTGAGACAAAAATGCCTTTGAGCAGCGTAGGTGAGTCAACAGAGGGAAGCAAAGCCACCCCTCCACGTCGTCCCTGTCTTTCTCCACGTTCATACAGTGTCACATTTCAACAGAGACCACCATGGAGAGTGAGAAAAGCTCAGAACCACACTGTTTCCAGTCGATGCTCGAAGACACCGCTTGGTTGTAGGCGAGCGAGTGACTGCACACACTTCGTTCCAGCCTGCAGAAAACCTTCCATCGTCTGTTCGAACTGTTGCGCTCGACAGTACCGACTGTCACCCGCATGGGCATGCCGACCAATCGACGTCGCCAACACTTCTGCCCACTCAACCTCGGAGGACCAAGTGCTTCCTTGCCTGTTGTTTAGCACACTCGTGCATCCTGGGAAATGAAGGGAACAGACGCACGTGACCGTTGTCTGTGATTGCTGGTGGTCCACGGTAGCAGTTTTGCGGATGTAGAGGGGGCGGAAAGGAACCAAGAAAATCGGCAAAATGCGTAAACGAAAGAAAAAAAATGGCAGGGACGTACGGCGTAAGCTCGTTGCTCCTTCTTCACCTCTGACAGCAGCCGTACTCGATGAAAAGTTAAATCACATGATTGAACATGACACGATTGGTCCAAATGGTTCAAACAACTTGGCGATGCAATGTTTGTCATAGAACAGCTTCATCTGCGTTGGGCACACGTCACAGTAATGTTGAGGAAGATGCGTGATGCAAGACGACACAGCGCAGCAACAGGAAGTGGCGGCCACTCAACGCAGCACAAGAAACTCCGGGTGCGCGGCACTCTGCACATGTCGAGTATTTTTTTTTTAACTTCAAATCAGTGCTCACAGCACTGGTGCCGTTTACCCCAACCCGTGGTCACACAGAAGAGCCTCTCTCTACTCTCCTCTCCTGCGGTTCTTTGCCTTCGATTTTTAATGCGAGAAGAGTTCAGCACTCTCTTCCCTCTATGTACACAAGAACTAGCGCGATCCACTAGGCCAGCAACGGAAGCGAGAGAAAAACTCACTTTGCAAGAAGAGCTCGCTTAAGCCGGGATTCGAACCCCTGACCTGACCTCTAGAAATGTTCGAGGATACCAACTAGACCACCGGGGCGTCGAGACAAAAAGCCATGAATCCGAATGGAGCTTACCGCAACTTGTCTGGTCAGACTGGTGGTGTCCTCTCCCAACTGGCCTTGAGGCTTTGGCACGTCCGTGCCACGAGCCGCGCACGGGTTCCCCTAAAAACGGCTGCTTTTTCCCATTCCGTCTTTCACCACCAGACGCCGTATGCAGAGCCGGCTCGAGCCCCGCCCCTCCCTACCATCCCATGACCATCACTGTGACCACCGTCACTCGGACGCACGCCCCCGTCGATCCTCCTCCCTCATGAACAAACAAAAACTTGAAAACCACCGCCGTCCGGCCACAAGTCGCCACCAACAAGAACCACCACGCGCCCGTCTGTTGTTCACTTTGCCGCTCCGGTCCCCGTAAGAAACAGCCACTCCCTGTCTCTTCGGACGATGGCGGTGAGGCGGACGGCCGCCTTGTACGCGTCGCCCGGGGAGACCGAAGACGGGAAGCATGCGTGCAGCTCGTCCCCCCCTCCCAGCCTCCCGGCGCCTGCCGAGGAGGACGACACCCACCGACCGCCCCCGCCGGCCCCTCCGTCCCGCTTGCCGAACAAGGACACGACCGTGTGCTCGTCTCCGACCTCGTACGCCAGGCTGTGCACGGGGTCCGACTCAAACAGCGCCGTCGCCAGCTCCTCTTCGCTGGCCCCGTTTCCCTCCTCGGCCGGTGAACCGCTCCCAATCCCGTCACCACCACCGCCACCGAAGTAACCGTTGTTCCCTTCGAACCTTCTCAGACAAAACACGCGCCCTTCCTGGCAGCTGCCCCGACGCAGCCTCAGGGCCGTGCGGGTGTAGTAACCCCAGACCCTGTGCTGCGCGGCGGGGTTGCTCGCAAGCTCGTGGTCGACGAACGGCGACGAGAGGCACTGCGTCACACACGGAGCGCCGCCCTGCTTCCCCCGGAGGCAGTAGTGGAAGTGTAGGGCCTTCATCTGGGTGCAAAACTTTGTCAAGACTCCCTCCCTCTCCAACTCCGCCCCGGAGCCCAGGTAGCGATCCCAGTGTGTCCCGAGCGCCGAGCGGAAGCGCGACTCCAGAGCAGACCGGGCGCGCCGAAACGCCTGGAACTGCTCCGAGGAAGACTCCACGGACACCAGGATCACGCACGAGCCACCTGCTGCCCCCCCCGACTCTGTTCCAGAGTCCCGCTGGATCGAGCGGCTGCCGCTATCGTTGCTCTGCGTGCCGCCATCGGCGGAAGCACTGCCACCACGCCGGCCCTCGTTTTCGTTGGCGATTGAACCCGTGCCGGCGGTGGCGCCCCTGTGTTGGGCTGGTGGGGAATTCTGATCGGCATTTCCCTGCGGTGGCGGCTGGGGTGATATGAAAGAAGGGGGGTCCTCCAAGAAGCCGATGTATGCGTAGAGGTAGCCCTGTTACATGGTTGTTTGCAGAGTCGAGGACACGTCAGAACATGCAGCAAAAACAGACACGAGGCGCGGGAAATCGCACGTCAGAAGAATGACTGATACTTCAAAGGGTGAGGAGAAAGAGGGTCAATCAGACATGAGGCGCTGGTGATTGTACGTGAGAGGGCGGGATCGGTGCTACGGGTCGCAGAAGAGCACCAGGTCTAGGGACATCAACACAGCATGGGATGGCAACAGGCCTTACCAACCCACTCTCGGCTCTCTTGTAGGTAACAAGAAACAAAGTTCTAATCTATTTATATAATAGTTAAACACAACCAGAGCTTCTACGAGAAGCTGCAGAGGGCGCTCTTGTATGTATGTCGATTTTTGAAGGTATTTATTTCGACTCAGATCTGTAAGTGTACCACTTGAACTGCTCAAGCAGTAATGGGTGTTAGGCTTTGCCAAGACGTACCAGAATAGCACCGAACAGAACAGCGTGCTTGGGGGAAACCCAGGGTTGTATGCTAGGAACAATGTGAAGCCGCGGAACTTTCGACATGGAGGCTTTCCACCGACCAGGCAAAGCTCGCGCCACGCCCTCGTCGTGCGAGCAATTAATGTTTCACATACACGCAACCAAATTAGCCACGCACTTCTCGAAAGAATTTACAAGCAACCAGTGCACGCCGAAAAATGCCTAACTACACACCCCTTCTGCAGGCATATCCGTTGCCAGGTGCACAAGAATGAACGAACCCCACCGTTTTCTGGAAGCGAGGGAAGCAAACCGGGGTCCACGACTCCGCGTTCCGCAGCGCCGGCTGCGTCGCCACGTAGTTCACCAAGAGGAGCAGGTCCCGCGAGCTCAGGTGGTGAGACGGTGCCCTGGGCTGCGCCAGCGCCACCAGCTTCTCCCCGCACAGCCATACCGCGTACAGGGCGCCGCTCGGAGCGTTCGCGGTCTGCGCGGCCTGGAGGTTCCTCGCTACCCTCGAGCGTATCGCCGGGTCCATCCACACCGTCTCCACGCCGCCCGCCAGCATGCGCCCCCGCCCGCGCGAGGGCTCGGCGAGCTCGATTATGCCTCTTAAGGAGGTATCTGCCCCGCCCAGGAGGCCGCGAAGGTCGTAACCTGGCGACTTCAAGAAGATGCCTTGAACCTTTTGTTGATTCGCAAGAGTAGGTTTCGAGGAGGAGGGGTTAGGGGTGGGGTCGGAGGGAAACAATCGGGTAGAAAGGTGGTTGTAAAAAACACATGTAGACTGGTAACGCACCTGACAGCTCGCTCGCGGCAGGCGCATTTGGTACGCGGACAGGAACGTTTTGCAGAAACCTACTCATGTGGCCGACAGCCGACACTTGCAGATACGAGGAATGTGTTTTCATTCTCCTGCTCTGCGCGGTCACCTCTTCTCTGGCCAAGTTCGGTACAGCTGCCGTGGTACACACCTTTGACGTGAGAAGGAAGAGAATGCTCGCGTACAAGTACTCCAGCTGTAGCCTCATGAAACTTTCACACTCTGGCGCCACCGGCGCCGCCGGCGCCGGCGCCTCGTCCTCCTCTTTCCCTGTTCCTTCTCCACCCTCCCCACCCTCGTCGCCGCTGGCTGTCTCCACCAAAGACGACGAGACGCCTACAAGCACCAAATTTCCTCTCTTCAAAAACACGAACCGCCGGCTGCCGGCCGATATGGACTCCATTTCGTCTCCGCTATCGCAATCGGCGCAGAGCGAGAGCATCCCCTGGATGAAGCTCATGAGGGTGGACAGGCGCTGTTCATCACCGGAGAGGGAGAAAACCGGCTTGCCGGCGTTGCTCAGGACGAAGATGTGCTTGGCGGCACCCCAGTCAAAGTCGTCGTCGTCGTCCTCGCCCTCTGAACCGGCTTGCTCTGCCCCACCTGCTGTAACCTGCACCTTTCCTGGCGGCTCTACCTCTGCTGCTGGCGTAGCTTTTCCCACCGCTACCGCTGCTGGCTGCTGCTCTGCCTGTGCCTCTCCTGCTGCTGCTGCCGCCTCTGTTTTCGATGGCATCCCCGTCTCCGCTGCTACCCTTGCTGGCTGTTGGCCCTTTGCTACAAGTGTACTATTTCTCTCCTCTGACGTTGCACATGCTTCAACCACGCTTTTTCCTGTTCGTGCCGGCAACGACTCTGCGCCGAGAGCTTCTGCCGAGTCCTGGTCCTGGTGGCTACTACTTCTACTGCGAACGGTGTTATCAGGGTGCAAGTCATGCGACATGCTCTCAGTATCGCTCATTGGCAATTCTGCGGAGGTCAGACTCTCTTTGGCGGAAGCGGGCAGCGCTGCAGGGCTGTTGGTATCGTTAACACAGTCTTGGATGTCGCCAACAACCTTGTCGACGTCCATTCCTGTCACTGCACACTCACGCGTTCGGAGGGCAAAGCGCACCAAGCAGCAAGTGGCACGCAGGTCCAGACGTGGGGGGGCGACAGATAGGAAGACTCCCTGCGACGTAGGGGGAGTTGTTTGGTTCTCGAGGCGTTCCATGGGAGGCGATCCTCATCATGTTGAGGCCTCGTTCCTCTTGCTGTTTGTTGGTTGTCGTTGTCGCCAGATGATGTTGCAAAGCGTGAGGGGGGCATTCGTTGTGGCTCTTGCCATGCACGCTTTGATGTTGTTAGCTTTTTGGGT